ACCCTAGTTTATGTATGGACTCTATAGCTAAGGCTGTTTCTGCAATATAGAACTGAGTTGCCTCTTCTGACAATGTATCCTTCTTCATTAGTAGTGTCATCATGTCTCCTAAATATAATATCAACATCAAAATCAACGCCGTAAGTCCATGCAAGCCAACGCCAACGCCAACGCCAACGCCAACGCCAACGCCAACGCCAACGCCAACGCCAACGTCAACGCCAACGTCAACGTCAACGTGAAAATGTAATGTGATTTTTTTGCCAACTCGTTTAAAATAACTCAATTTATATTCTCAAATTTTAGGCCAATAGACCGCCTGTAGTACAACATAACATCCATATTCTTAGGCAGAAGTTTTGTTAGAAACAAGAACACAAGAAATAAGACAAAAACAACTAAACAATAACATTATCCCAGTAGAAAAAATGAATGGGTAATATATGACATCGCTGCCTGAGCCTCTAAGTAATGAAAGGAAAAAATGAATGCAGAAGAAAACTATTTGTATTCATTTTGCAAATATCCAAAACTCATCTGCTAGAACAATTCTACAAAAATTCTGTTTATTTCTGATTAAAAATAGGAATCTAATAGTAAATGTTATTGGTATAGAACTTAAATAAACACAGTCCTAGAATAATATACAATTCTAAGATTCGTTATTTCTAACTCATAAAAATTTCAATTTTTTTGTGAAGAACAGACACTCCTTATAATTGAATATTTTGTTCATCCAGAGCTGGAAACTTTAGAATGGGATACCTTTAATCCCGACTGCTTAATCGGAATATCCAATTTGGACGCTTTTAATTTCTTGCTAAATCCACACTAATCAAAAACCGGTTTTTCAAAATTAGAGAGTCCCTCCCGTTTCTGTATATTATTCTTGAATGGTGCGCAAAATTTCAAATTTCCGGCTTCTGATACGCGACTCTGATTGGTTGAATTTTATCCACTTTTTCAAGATACAAATACAAGATTAGGTTAGTCTGGAGATTAAGAAACAGAGAGGATCAAGAATTGATCTTGATATCCACTTGATATCCATTCTAAAGTTCCCAGCTCAGATGTATTCCATTAAATGAACTGGGGGCAATAGGAGATCCAAATTTGTTGGTGCAATTTCAACTATGGGAATTTCATCTCATGTATAGGTTTCCTAGAATAATACTGGAATTAGGAATTTAATATCCTAGAAAACATACCTCCAGGTAGGAATATCATGTTGAGATAAAGCTTACAAGTATCCTAGAATACTACTAGGTAGAAATTCCATGATGAGGTAAAGATTACAAGTATCCTGGAATGCATACCTCCAGGTAGAAATTCCATGATGAGGTAAAGATTACAAGTATCCTGGAATACATACCTCCAGGTATAAATTCCATGATGAGGTAAAGATTACAAGTATCCTGGAATACATACCTCCAGGTAGGAATTCCATGATGAGGTAAAGATTACAAGGATCCTGGAATACTACATACCTCCAGGTAGAAATGCCATGATGAGGTAAAGATTACAAGGATCCTGGAATACTATAAACCTCCTCGTAGGAATATCATGATGAGATAAAGCTTACAAGTATCCTGGAATACTACATACCTCCAGGTAGAAATTCCATGATGAGGTAAAGATTACAAGGATCCTGGAATGAATAAAACATCTTGACCACCCACTGATGATCTGCTTCAACTAATATGTCTCGTTCAGCTCGGACATGCGCCAACTAAACAAAATTAAAGATACAATCATAATATTAACTGGGAGACTGGAAATGTTTCTAGGCCTTTTCGCCATTTTTGGTCTAAAGTATTATTCATCAGTGTGATCCTGCATAAACGAGGTAAACAAATGAGTTAGAGACTTTATCACAATGCTGTCGTCATAAACCATATATTTCCTAAGCTTTTAACTTCCATGCATTTTATAGTTCATCCTCTGAAATAGTTGCACTAATAAGGATACTCAAAAGTGTGACATGACATTCTTAAACACTTACAATGCAGCATTTATTATATGAAAAGCTTTCTGTTTCTTACTTGTTCTTTCTCCACCATATCAGCCTTACGAAGAATTTTCATAGCGTACACGTGACCAGTATCTACCTTCTGTACTAGTCTCACCTCACCAAAAGCTCCTTTACCGATGACCTAAAACGAATAAAGAATTTATCCGTCAATCTGATAGTGTTGATAGTGATGGCAATCTAAGAACGAGTGTTTAAATCTCCACTCTCAACATCACTCTCTAAGCCAGAAAGCTTCCTTTCTTTTTCTGTCTTTTCCAATATTTTTCTCTATCTTTATCTCTTTCTTTATTTCTATCTTAATATAATTTGCTATCTCTATTGCTATCTCTATTGCTATCTCTATCTCTATCTCTATCTCTATCTCTATCTCTATCTCTATCTCTATCTCTATCTCTGTCTCTGTCTCTGTCTCTGTCTCTGTCTCTGTCTCTGTCTCTGTCTCTGTCTCTGCCTCTGCCTCTGCCTCTGTCTCTGTCTCTGTCTTTGTCTCTGTGTCTGTGTCTGTGTCTGTGTCTGTGTCTGTGTCTATGTCTATGTCTATGTCTATGTCTATGTCTATGTCTATGTCTATGTCTATGTCTATCTCAATCTCAATCTCAATCTCGGTCTCTATCCCTATCTCCATAATGTTTTCTATCCCTACCTTGAGAGGATCGAAGTCGTCTACCCCTAATCTAGATCTCTTCAAGCGCAAGAATTCTGTTTCCTTTGCCGCGTGTTGAACTCTTTTCTCCACGCGGGCAGAGTCCGTCAGAGAATTATCCTAAATAATAGAAATCATAATAACTAGCTGAAACGCCCACGTTGCCATTAGAATTTATAATAAATAAGTTTAAGCCTATTTTACACCCGTGCTACTCATGGGTTACCTAAAAAAATTCAGCCATTTTGGTTCCAGCCGTTTGGACAGCTGTAGTTAACTTATATAAATGAGCGAAGAGCTTTAAAAGTTCGAAATTATCATCAATCCACCTTCATTCTGTAGAAATCTAGGTCGACCCATTTCGTGTACTTGTACCTTGTACTTGATCAACCCATTCTATCAGTACAACGCTGTAATGTACAGGAGCCACTATACCGTACTGGACAATGCTCTACGATACAGAAGCCACTATACGGCAGGGGATAATGTTGTATAGTACAGAAGCCACTATACGGCAGGGGACAATGCTGTACGGTACAGAAGCCACTATACAGCAGGGGACAATGCTGTACGGTACAGAAGCCACTATATGCCAGGGGACAATGCTGTTCGGTACAGAAGCCACTATACGGCAGGGGACAATGCTGTATGGTATAGAAACCACTATACGGCAGGGGACAATGCTGTACGGCACAGAAGCCACTATACGGCAGGGGACAATGCTGTACAGTACAGAAGCCACTATACGGTCCACAGCTGAAGACTGTTTCTCGTCATCCTTAGCTCTCTGAAGAGGGGACAAAACTTTTAAAGAGGAAAGTACTTAGCTTATCCCTTGCAAAGCATTCAAGTTGAGGCATCTAAGGTTGAAACATCGGTGGAAAATGAAGTTATAGATTTAAGATTCATTAGTTTTGTCCTCAAGTCTGTTGAAACTTGGGGAAAGAAAGGGGGGGGGGGCGGGTGTATTTAATAAAAAATGTTTCGAACCTGCAATGTTTCTTCAAGTCTTTTGAGTCTGTCCTTTCTCTCTCTATGTTGTGAGATAAGGTTGCTGTAGTAGTTCTCCAGGGTCACCTACATCACGTACATCGTTAAAGGGACTGAACACGTAATTTTAAGGGAACTTTCCTTTACAGAATCACTGGAAAGTTCACAAAGTACGGACAAATTTTGTTTTGAGTGTCATATACGATGCCAAAAATTATTTCTAGGAAAAAAAGTTAGAAAATTAAAGGGATTGTTAAAGTGACTTGAGGTTTATGATGCAGGAGAGAAGAAATGAATTTGACAGAATTACACACATTTTAAGGGAGAAAAATTGTTGCTGGATCAGAACAGAGGTGTACACAGGGTACCGTTGTGAATCTGGTATGCAATCAGGGCTTAGGATCCATTTAATTTTGATGCGGATCCGGATCCTGGATCCGCACTGTAAAAAAATGGATCCGGATCCAGGTCATTTCTTTAAGATTAACAAAGCAGAATTTTCAAATTGGTTGTCGTATTTTTTTATGCCAAAACTTTATGAACCATTCAGAAATCAGGAAATTGTTATAATCTCTCTTTTTTCAATAGTTCAGATTTAGGTTTAGAGAGTAAAAAAGTTTTTTTTTTAGTTTTTGGTTGATATTTTGCCCCTTGGATCCGCATATTTTTGCGGATCCGGATCCAGGAAGCCAAAATCTTACGGATCCAACGGATCCGGATCCTAAGCACTGAATGCAACTTTTTAATTTGTGAGTTTCTATAAATTACCTTGGCTTTAGTTGCTTTGTCCAGCGTATGTGAAGAGAATCTAACTTGACTTTCACTACTAGTCATACTCAACACACCTGGAATCAGATAAATAAGTTTAATTTTTAAATTATAATATACTAATTCAAGTGCCCAGCGTTGCCAGTAGAAAAAATTAAATTAAAACAAAAATTAAATTTTCTTAACCAATATTACCCCCAGGGTACCCATGGGTTCCCTAAAAAATTCCAGCCAATTTAGTCCAGTCGTTTGGCCAGGTATAGCTAAAATATAATAACGAGATCATTGGGATTTGTTATTAATCTTCAGATTAACTTTAATTTTCATCCAATATCCGGTTTGCATGGTAGTCGCATCCAGTTAGGGGTCGAATTGAGGTTTGATTAAGGGAGGAATATCATAAATAAAAATATGGGTTTTTATCAATTCTCAAAATGAGATCAAACGGTCTGGATTGTGAGCTCCCAGCTCAGGCGGATTAAAATGATTTTGGAAGAACAACCAATCAAAAGCAACAATCGATCAATGAGAGATCGCAGAAATACAAGTCTGTCTGTAATCCCCGGATTAAGTATAAAACTGCTTTAATTTAGGAGTTGCAGATTAGCGCTTTCCCACTTAAAAGTTCTGACATCTGATTTCCTATTTGCAATTGACAAAATTCAATAATCCCAAAATGACGTGAATTTGTTCAGAATGATTAGAAGTAATTAAAAAACTGTTATTTTGTTCTATAAAATGTATTGAATTCGCATGAAATATAATCATGTGAATAAATGTGGGAAAATTTTATAATATTTTCTTAGATCATAATAAACTAAACCCGTTATGTGAATAAATGAATGGAATAGTTAAGAGTGAATTATGATTGAATTATCATAAATTAAAAAAGGTTTCAAATGAATGCGTGACTAGGTAAGAATAGATGAATGACTTAACAGGTAAAGATGAATGAGCAAGGATGGATGAATGTATGAATGGATGAATAGGATGAAAAGGATGAATGACTTAACAGGTAAGGATGATTGCATGAATAGGTCAGACAAAATGAATGAATGAGTAAGGATTTGTAGGCAAGGATGAATGTATGAAAGGATGAATAGGATGAATGACTTAACAGGTAAAAATGATAAGATGAATAGGTCAGAATAAATGAATGAATGAATAGGTAAGGTTAAATTTATAAAAATGAATAATATAAAAAAGAGTAAAGTACAGTAACAGTGTTGAGAGGGGTAATAAATTAGATAAAGCACTATGTCTAGAGCTAGCAGCCAAACAGATAATATATATTGATAGATAGATCGATATATATAAAAAATAGATATTACTTAATAATATAGAAAGAAATACAAAATTCTGATTTTAGAACAGAGAAATCTAACAAAACTCACGGATTCGAATGACCAGAATAAGTTTGGAATTTATATGATTTTTAACTGATTAGTTATGAATATAATTAAATATTAAGTGGTAAAATGCTACTTAGTGAATTTACATAAACATTTAGCGTTTTTAAACANCCACTCGATGAAAGTAATTTTGGTAGCGATCGAATCCAAACTTGCGGATTCAGTCTAGAACCCCCTTCATTTTTAGCGAACACCCCCTTTACAGCTGTGTGATAAGGACAAATATAGGAATAATTCATAAACATACAAAGTTTTGACCCCCCCCCCCCTGGGGGATTATTTATAACTGGATTGTTGTTCCAAGGTTGAAGGGAAAATAAGAGCTGGGACAAAAGGATTTATAAATGAAAGGGTAAACAATAAATAGATGAAGTGTTAAAAGCAAAATGTTCATAAAAAAACAAAAAAAAAAATGGCGTTAAAACAATTGGTAAATTGAAATATTAAGAACAAAGCGAAGTTTAAAGAAAAAAGTTTTAAAAAGAAAAGTCCAGCCAAAAACATTGGTCAAGTCTAAAAATAAAAAACGAAGTCAAGATTGAGGAAAACGGTTAAGTAAAAAAATGCATCGTTTTTGTGAACGAACAAAATTTGTTGTGAACGATGGCGTCGTTCACAAAAAATGAACGTTCAGTCGTTTTAAAAAACACTATCGTTTTAAAAAAACAAATGAAAAATCGAATGATTTAAAACCGTTCAAACGAACTTGAAAAAACGATCGTTCACGAACGATGAACGAAAGAAATGAAAAAAAAAACGCTCCCAGCTGCAAGAATGAAAGTTGAGAAAGAAATAAACAAAATAACCAGTTCAAGCTAAAGCTGTGTACAGCTGAGAAATTTGCATTTCTGTGGCTGAAAAATTCTGAAATTGAATTTATCCTAGAAAATTGGATAAAATGTAAAGGACGTTGTTTCTCCTGTCCCACCTCTAACTTAATATTCTTTTTTCTTCTAAAGAAACATTTTTTCTTCTCAAAAATGTTAATTTACATTAGAAACTAAAGCTCGAGGTGTACAGTGAGCTTATAATAGTCTAGAAAGATTGTGGTTAAAATTGAATAATATAGAAATTTACGAAGAAATTAAGTATTTATCCAAAACTCAGATTTTTTAATCCCTATATCTTTGCAACCCAATTTGGTAAATCTTAGATATTTCAAACTATGCTGTTGGATCAAATCATTTAAGACAAATAATCAAAGGTTTTCACCATCAGGTTGCGCAGATATAGTGATTAGAAAATTATTTTCAATTTATGGTTTTGAGATCCACCAATTTCCAACCAACCAACCAACCAACAAACCAAGTCGCCCAATAATGCTGGGAGGGGGGGGGGGTGTTTCCAAACTAGGTTTCCAAACTAGGTTTCCAAACTAGGTTTCCAAACTAGGTTTCCAAACTGGGTTTCCAAACTAGGTTTTCAAACTAGGTTTCCAAACTAGGTTTCCAAACTAGGTTTCCAAACTGGGTTTCCAAACTGGGTTTCCAAACTAGGTTTCCAAACTGGGTTTCCAAACTAGGTTTCCAAACTGGGTTTCCAAACTAGGTTTCCAAACTGGGTTTCCAAACTGGGTTTCCAAACTAGGTTTCCAAACTGGGATTCCAAACTAAGTTTCCAAACTGCAGTTCTTAAATAAATCTATTCCATCTCAATTATATTGTAAACGGTGTGAACATGGAACAATTGCCATAGAAAATTTATAAAACCACACCCATTGTTGGGCATTCAACGGATATGAGGCGTGTACACCACACCCATTTAGAAGTATACTAGGACGGTAGCCACATACCACGCCCATTAAAAAAAAACATAAGGAAGACATACTTGCCACGTCCATTTAAAAGTACACACAGATGGTAGCAACATGCGACGCCCATTCTTGAGGAAAGTAAGGATGAGAGGCATATTTACCACGCCCATTTTAGAGGACATGAGGCACATAATTGCCACGCCCATTTCGGACTAGAATAGGACGTCAGATGTCTACATTTAACTTGAATCTGGGTTAAATAATAGGAACTGTACTAATAATAATTATACTGTTAAACTGTTTGAATCCATTAGTTTAGCAAACATTGGTTGTTAGAAAAACATCTCAAGGATTTTAAAATTGAAAAAAAATTTGAATTTTTTATTCTTAAGTTCAAAAGACTCTAATCATTTAATTATCATATCTTCGCAACCTGATGGTTTAATCTATAAACCAAAGGAAAATAGACCTAGCAGAATTCGAGGTTTGAAATACCGTAGCAAAAATTTCTGCTGTAGAAACAACGAAGGAAATTGTGAATATATTTTATACTAAAAAACGACGATATCTTCAACATTATTGATCAGATAAACGCCTCCCTCTTACTAAATTGATTGATTGATTTATGATTTGGGTATGTACAATGTACATTTTATACGCCCCATATAGATTTAGGCTGCTCTGTGTTCATGGTGGTATATGCCACGCCCTTTAACCCGCCCTACCCGCCTGTCAAGCCATATCCATTTTACGCGTGTTAAAAGGAACTGTATGCGTAACTTCAAGTAACCATCCATACGTAATGAATAAAGATACCAATGCCCGATTAACAACGGTAGCTTAAATTCTTCGTCTAATCAAGTATGAATTATATATTATTGTTTAAAAGTTTGAAAACGGATTAGTGTGAAATCTCTACAAAAATGACTTGCGCATTTCTGCTGCAACAGTAAAACAAAAAGGATTTATCACAGTCAACTACTTTTAAATCTAGAAAACACGACACTTGAAGTAACGCTTTCAGTCCCTTTATACAGAAGAAGCTAATAGTGTTCAGACAGAAACAAGGAAGATAAAAACCAAAACACTAAAATCATTATCTAAAACTAGATTTAAACAACCGTATTCACGACACCATGTTTATACGAGGCCAACACGGCACCAGGCAATGAATTAAAGAAAAAGTGACCCATCAATAAAAAAAATATTTAGGCAATATCGATGGAGTTGTTACTTTTGTTTTCCAATTGAAAATTGATAATTTCTGATAAAAGAGACTTTAAAATTTACGCCGCAGAGATATTAGTGGTTATTTTTGAATTGTTGCTTCATTAAAGGGAGTGACCGGCTATGTAAGGTAGTTGAACTGAGTATGCAGTGTTGTGGAAAACTTCTTTCGGATTCATTTGAGGCATATAAAACTTTTTAAAGATCTGTAAATCCTGAGTTTGAGCGCAAATTCGACGTTCAAAACTCCTACTTTGGGGGTGGATACGTTTTCAGAATTAGTTTTAATTATTTAGAATTTTAATTAATTAGTTAGAATTTTTTTTAAAGTTTAGCCCTTGATGAATTCATCTCTTTAAATGGGTTCACATATCATCATTCCTTGGCTGGCTCCTCCCTTCCTGTTTATATAGTTACATAATTCTCGTTTAAATATTACAAGGGTAGCAGTCTAGGGCTGGGCGTTTCCCTACTTTTTTTGAAATAGTTTGTTCCGTTTTTTTTCCGGCGTTTCGTTCTTCTCCGTTCTTTTCCGTTCGTTCCCGTGAAAGAACGATCGTTCCCCAAGAACAACGCCCAGTCCTAGGTAATAACGAGGAGTTTTTACATAGTTTAGGATAAATTCTGTTTTCAGCGGATTAGGTTCCGCATCCTGGATCCGCTCTGTAAAAAATTGATCCGGATA